AGGGAAAGTTCTCTCTATATATGACATAGCCCCTTAAACCACAGAGAGAAGATTGATAAATTTGACTCTAAAACATGAAAATGTGTGCATACAAAAACACCATTAACAAAGTAAAAAAATAGGGAAAAATTTGTAACATTTTATTGACAAAGGCTAATTTTCTTAATATTTAAAGAACTTCTACAGAATAATATTCAAAGACCAAGAATGGAATTCAAAAAAAGTGGTAAAGGATGTAAATAATCAGTTCATAGAAAAGCAAATCTAAGTAGTGCTTGGACAAATAAAAATATGCGTAAATCTTCAGTCTTATACAAAAAATATTAATTACAATATGATGAAATACTGTTTACCTGTGACATTGCAAAATAAAAAAGTTTGATAATACATTATTTAGGGGGATGTTGGGAACCAAATACTTATTTGGTTAATGAGTTTAATTAGTAGGTATGTGGATTCATATAACCTCTATGAAAAACAATTTGGCATTAGCTTTCAAAATTTAAAGTACACATAGCTTTAACCTGACACTCGAAGTATTTTATCCTCAAATATCTGTGCCAATATGCAAGGATATGCACTCTAGTATCATATATTTTAATAATAAAAGATTGTCAGTAGGCAATTATAAAGATGTACCCTAACATTTATTTAACCAATGTAATTCCATTCAATCACTAAAAACAAATGAGTTAAGTTAAAAAAAAAAAAAACATACAAGTAATGGGACTGTATCATGCTACCATTTGTATTTTTAAAAGCCTCCATGAGTACGTACATAGATGCATAAACTTATACTGTCTTTAATAGGGTACCCAAATTTAACCTTTGGAGAGGAGAATGAGTAGCTGGGCCATGGGGATGGGAAAAAGACCAATATTAGGTGTAAAAGACTTAATTTTTTACTTAGTTTTTGTACTTTTGAATTTTATGTCATGTACTTGTTTTGTCTACTCAGAAGAAATAAACATTTTAAATAAAATCATATTCCTAGAAAATACCTATTCCTAGAAAATAGCCTAGCCAGTAATGCTATAGTTGAGCAAACTGCAAAACACAGAGGCCAAGACTGAGGCCCTATGTGTTTTATACAGAAAATGATTAGCAATACTGAGGCCTGGATTTTAATCCTGATTCTGATATGTGACTCTTCGTAAGTTATTTTCTTTCTGTGAATCTCAGTTTTCTCATTTGTAGAATAAGTGGTAGGATTCATCTTTTGTCTTCCAGCATTAGTTTACAAACTGATTAATAGAGCCCAAGGATTCTTTGAATCCCCTTAGGTAGCTCAAGCAGAAGATTGAGATTGTAGAATTTGCCAATACACCAGTTTAACGAGAGCATTCCTGGACCTCTCAGTAAGATGGAGTTTAACTAAATGTTTTAAAACTCTGAAAAAAGTCTAAAAGTCACAGTCCATAGTAAAGTGGTCGTATATATTAACTTAAAGATTCTTAATGCTGGTGTCGAAACACATTAACATGACAATATCAACTGAGAAGTAAATCCAAGTAATTTTAAATGATTATTTACATTTTTTAATAACTGCCAGTCTCACATTTCTGTAGGCTCTCTTAAGTTGGAGGGAGGTGAGAGTTAACGATATTTAGAGGAAGGATGTAAAGTCTGTTATGTACCTAGTTGTGTTAAGGTATGCATTTTCATAGAGTCCTGAGTGATATTTCTTTGAGTTGATGGAGTGGAATATAATATTTGGCTCTGAGGCTGATACACTGGTTTTTAGTCAGTTAATGTTTTCCTTCCTTCCTCCTCTAGTACTTTTTGGGGCTAGGAAAGTAAAAGGTACAAGGAATAAATTAAGCATTTGGCAAGTCAGAAACATATTCAGAATTATTTCTGAATTTTAGTTTTATTGTGAGAACCTAAATTTCAGACCTAAGTGCACAAGGACACTACTCTTTGAAGAAGAAGTAAAGGCCGATATGAGTGCGAATGATTCCCTTCTAACGTTCAGAAGATAGCAGTAATTAAGGACTCAAGGGATGAGGTTGCCTGACCAAGTTTTTTTTTTCAAAAATGAGAGTGAACAGAAAGACCAGATGTTTACCCAATAACAGTAAATTCATGATACAACTAGTTAATAACTGGTTATACCTAGTAAAGACATGATGGAAATGCAGGTCAAAAAGCCAGCAAGAGGAAGAAGCAAGAAAGTTTAGTTTACACTTAATGGCTCTTAAAACCAATACAAAGTGTTTTAAAAAGTAGATGAAGAAACAATTTGTGTGATGTGTGTATGTAAATGTGTTTGTTATAAAATCTTGAAAACAAACCAAAATTTTCATTACTATTACTTTAGAATGATAGGAGTTTGAGAGACTTTTCTTTTATCTGTATTTTTAAACTTTTCTACAAAGAATATATTACTTAAGTAATCAAAAAGCTATTATTTATTATATACACACATGCATTTGACATTTGTTGTTCTGTCCTGACTATAGATGTCTTTTTGAATTTTCTAGGTTCACCAGAGGCTTTCTTCTTGGCAGAATTTGGGAGTTGTTTATTGCAGTACTGTTGTGCCCTCTGATGGTGAGTTTTGGCAAATCCATTTTTTATGTCTAATTTTTTTCGCTCAGTGTTTTCCATTCCCTAATCAATATATAAATTTACAAACCACTCCTTCACTTAAAATTGGCTTGACATCAGAGAGAGAAGGGGTACTAAAGAAGAGAAATAAAATTTGAATGAGAATCTAGTGAAATCAGAGGAGAAATCAGTAAGAAAAACTAAGACCCATCAAGTTTTCATAGATCATGGAATATTACTATCTGGTTTTAAAACCTGGGACATAGTTAATGTGAAGATCACAGAAGTACTATCTTTGGTATTTCATAATCATTGGGTCTTCATACCATGGATAATGATCAAACACTCCAGCCTGACAAACAATTCAAAGTCTGAGGCCTCCTGCCCTTACTTGTCTTTTCTTCCTTAGGCTCAGGGATGTAATACTCTTCTTTGATGTAGAAAAGAATGAACAGATGCTTGGAGACTATATATGGTCTTTTATAAATGTCCATGATGCTGCAAACTGACAATAGAATCTCAGTTTTGATTGTTTTTACATTAGTGAAGATGTTTACTACTCTCCTTGTCATTTCTCTTACCTAGTATTGCACATTTACAGTTTAGATTGTTTGCTTAGGGTTGGTTATTAAATATGTTTCCTCTGTATGTAAAGTTTAGTGTGAGAGAACTCTAATTTCAACCTTATAAACGTTAATTCATAGGTAAAGCAACCATCGAAAGAGCATCCTGCAATATTAAAGATACCTGAAACTGAAGAAACCCCAAATGAACTGTGAAAGTTCTACTGTCCACTGTATTTAATCAGTATAGATATTTGCAGTGTTATCAGAATCCCCTCCCCAAAGCTGTTTAATTACCTGAATGTATAATCAGTGTGTTTATATTTGCTAAAATCCTCTAAATTTAGGAGGGGGAAGGCACAGCAACACAGTTCAGTCCATAGCAGGCTGTATGAAGGAAATCAGTTTCCGATTCAAGAAAATAAATTATATCTAAATTTTTTATGTATAAATTGTTTGAGTTTTTTTCAGGAAATAGGAATAAGGAAGGAATCTATATTTCATCAGATTCCACGTTTCACCACCAGAAATTAAAGTGGGCTAAGAGTCAATGTTTAATGACTTTCACAGCAGAACCATCAAAAACAATATTCTTAAAAAGTAAAAGGAGTTAGACCACTGTATTAGTAAAGGATTTCATTTTTACAAAAGCAAAATGAAATCTTTAATTTTCAATAGAATGAGTAGATGAATGAAAGGAGGGGATGGGTGGACCTTTTACTTCACACAAATACTTATGAGAAATTATTTTCATAAACTGATTTTAAAAGAACCAGAATTACAAAAGGTACATAGGTTGTACAGCTATTCACATAAGACTAATAATACCATATATTAAAAGATGATTTATGAAATTTGTTTTCACAACTTTTATCATTTAAGCCTCATAACATTACAGTTTTTTACATAGTTATACAGAGATTCTGTTGTACAAATACTAATTCACCTGAAGTATACGATGAATATGTAGTTGATTTAATTAAAATTAATTTATATTACTGGTTATAAAGACCCAAACAACTGAATTTATCAGCCTACTGAAGTTACAATTATATAATTGGGTTTTCTTATATTGATATGGAAAGAGATTTTCTACATAAATATTTATGTGTTTTTCAAAATGAATATACTTCAAATGATGTTAATAAGTGACAGATTTAGTATTTTTAATATATTTTAAATAATTTAAAGATATTTCTAATTATTTATTTTACATATTTAAGTATAGTCTTCTGAGATTGTTGGGAAGCAAGCACATTTGGTTTATACATGTTAATTATAAATTCCAAGGAGTTTTTTTGCCATTATGTATAAGGAATGGCCTTACTATTGCCTAAATAATGTTTAGTTTATTATATTAAATTATAATCTTAGTTTAACATATCATAATTTAATGAAAAACATGGAATTTTGGAATTATATTTATAAATATAGAAGTGTTTATTAAAACTAAATTATTTTGAAGGTATCTAGGCATGAAACTAGTTTGAAAAAATGTGTAAGAGAATAAACTTTATTGAAGGACATAAAAGAAGATAGGAATAAATGAAGAGTTACCATGTCAGTGAATATGAAGACAACATTGTAAAAGTTGTCAGTTTCTTCCACATGAATTTATAAATAAAGTGCACTGCAGTGCTAATCAAAACCCCAACAGGGAATGATGAACTTATTTTAAAAATTATATGAAAGAATAAAAACTGTACACATTAAGATAAATTTGAGGGAGAAAAGGGGGAAAGATTTACATAAACCACATATTAAAATATATTTCTAAAACCATAACAATCAAAACAGTAGAATCAGGTAAAACCTTATTACATATATGGAAATTTGACATGATAGGATTAGCATTGTAAGTCAGAACATTGGGCAGACCGTTCAATAAATGGTACTGTTACAATTGACCTTACAAAAATAAATTCCAGATGGCATAAGGAATAAAATGTGGAATATAACGCTCTAAAATGAAGGAAAAAAGTTGGCCAAATTTGCATCAGAAACTAAAATCATTGAGGAGTGCTGCTCTCTTAGCCTTTTTCTTTATAATAGGAAAGAAAAAAAATTTTTAGTGGATAAACTGTAGTCTATTTATTATAATGAAATTATACATGGGATTTTACGTGAATGATCCAGAAATATGATTCAATTCGGATAAATCTCAGAGCATTTTTGAGTATAAAAGCAAATTGCAGAAGGTTGTATATGATGAGACCATTTATGTAAAGTCTAAATACGTGCAAAAACCATGCTGCGTAGCAAATTATAACAATCAGTGGTTTAAAACAGTAATAATTCTTATCTCCCATTTCTGTGGACTCTGAATTCAGGAAAGATTAGCTGGGCAATTTGGGGTCTTATGGGGTTGCAATCCCATGTCAGCTAGGTCTGCAATCATCTGAAGGTTTGACTGGGGCTGGAGGATCCAATTCTAAGGTAGCTCACTAAAATAACTGAGAAGTTAGTGCCAGCTCTTGTGGGAGGCCCCTCTTCTTCTCCATGTTGGCTTTTCCATAGGGCTGCAGGACTGTCCTTATGATATGACTACTGGCTTCCCCCAGAGCAAGTGATTCAAGAGAGCAGGACAGAAGCTACACAGCTTTTTATGACATAGCTTCAGAAGTTATACACCATTATATCTGCTGTATTCTACTGATTATACAGACTAGCCCTGACTTGATGTGAGATGGGACCACGCAAGGATGTGAATACCTAGAGGCAAGGATCATATAGAGCTATCTCAGAGGAGGGCTACCACAATACTACAGATTACATATTGGGGTGGGGGAGTGTCTCTGTGTCTCTGTCTGTGTATCTGCCTGTATGTATGTATATATGTATGTATGTATGTATGTATATGATGGATAGGAATGATAAACACCAAATACCAACTTCAGGATAGTGGTTTCCTTTGGAGAAATAAAGATTACCCTGATTCAGTGTGGATAACTTTTTGAATGGGAGCAAGACTGGAATGAAGTAAGGAGTCCCAATACAGTGTAGCTGATATTAGAAAAAGGTAGTGGTGGCCTGGACAAAGATGGGGTAGTAGAGTGAATTGGAGAGATTAGAGATTTTAGAAAATAGAATGAAAGGATGTGCCGACTGATTAGATATGAAGAATGTCATGTTCTGGCTCTAAGAGTAGTCAGTGTAAGAAACGTCCAAACCTGTAGAGAATTTTATGAGTTTATTTGAGCCATGCTGTTGACAATTGCCCAAAAGCAAAATCTCAATGGATTGAGAAAATACTCCAGACAATGGCAGTTTTGCAGCTTATTTTATACATTAGAATAAAAAGAGGAGATGTAAGGAGGGTTACATGAAATCCACTGGTGGTAGATTAAGGAGTTGGGAGAAATCAAAGGAAATCTCTGGGATTGGATAAAAGGCAAAATGGAGAGACACATACTTTTTTTACATTGGTGAGTACAGGATAGGGAACATTTATAGTGCACAGAGAGAGTCTGCGGGCAACAAAATAACAAAGAGGGGTTCTGTGGTGCTCAGGTGTCTGCCTTGGGTCTGGAAAAGATACTGTGACATTTCAAAAGTGTGTTAGTTTGATGCAAAAAGACAATAGATAGGCTCACTTAAGGTAAAGATTGACCTTTGTCAATGAAGCTACAGGCCTAGAAAGTGACTACCCACCACGACCCACATTTAGTTGGAAATTTTTATGTTCAGACCATAATATATGGTTACTTTCAGTCTCTGAGTTTGTAAGGCCTTCCCTTCAGGCCTCTCTTGAGCTTGTCAGGTTTAGTACGTGGCCTCTTTTTCATCCACAAAGTAGTCAAGGATATCAGACAATTTTCTGGATTGGGCAATAGTTATATAGTAGTAGTGTTATTGACTGAAATGAGAAATGTCAGAGATGGGTAGATTTGGGAAGATTAATTTAATTTTAGGACTTTTGAGTTTCGGGTATGCCCATGAGAAACCCAGTTGTCCAGCAGACAATTGAATATAAGTTTGAGACTTCAGCATTTAGATGGTAACTGACACTTTGGAAGAATATGTGATTGACTGGAGAGTATGTGGATTGAGAAGCACAGAGGCCTAGGACAAAGCACTTAGAAACTTGTAAGGGATGAATACAGTAAGAAGAGCCTATGAAGGAAAAATTAGAAGGTATAGACAGAAAGGTAAAAACAACCAGGAGAGTGTGGGAAAAGGAAAGCTTTTTATAAAGTGGAGGAGTGATTAACATCATTAGATGCTACTAAAACAAATTAAGGGCTAAAATTCCTACTGAATTTAGCAACCTAATGTTTTATGTGACTTAAGAGAAAACAATTTTTTAGTCAGATTGATGCAGGACCGGGCAAATTTCCTCATGTGTGAGAGGAGACCAAGCCCTACACTGAAGGAAGAGGGTCCTTTGGCGGTGAGTGTAGAAAGAATTCAATACACATGCCAAAGTTGGAGTCAAAGGAA